TGGTAATTTTAATGTCGGTTTTTTCGGTTTTATTTTCTGGTTTCTCAGCTATAAGAAACTATGCCAAAGTTAACTACGGATTACAATAATAATCACAACTGTACAGGTGCGGTCAGCAAATTACCTCTAATGTTCTTTAGCTCTGTATAATAAAGGCTTATTAACTAGTTGTTTGTATATAAGAAAGTAAATCCGCGATAATTAACACACAACTGCAAACTAATAAGCTGCTATGCTAAGAGGTAGCTAAACATGTCTATAAACATTGTTCTAAAAAAATTAAAACTTTGTTGAGTACACATATTTTGTATAATGTTTTGACCTGCACTAAATTACTTTTTGTTTGCGTTTGTTTGTAGATGTTTGCTTATACTTTCACACCAAAACATCTCTATGATTCATTTTTTTAGGGTTTTTTAATTACTCATGACGTCTCTGATATTTTGTATTCCCTTGGCGAATATAAACTTAAAAACACCAACATTTTAAATCGTGAATCAACCATTGAATGCTTAAGAGGACTTAAAAATACGTAAAATCGCATTTGTACATACAAGTTATTCTTCTTTTTCATACATGGATCTTACATTTTCTGTACATTAGTCTAGACAAAGACTATATTTTACTCCCGACTAAGCATTAGCGTTAAAAAACAGTGTTTGGATATTCTGTTCTAAAATTGTGACCTCCAATGTAAACAGTGGGCGCTGGCAATGTCGTTGGCAACGATTATGCACCTTGTTGGCAATGCTGAGCTTACAAGCTTTCGCATTGGCTTAGCGAGCGACTAATTGGCTAATTAGACAATAGTGAAGCGCAAAGAGAGCCGATTAAACCGATGATTCCGATTACATTCGCTAATGCGATAAAACAACAGGAACCACAAAAATTTGCTGACACAATTACGCATATTTTGGCGAGGAAATGACATAGATAGATTCGCGTGCCATTGTGTTATTTGTTTTTCTGTTTACACGCCCAGAAAACATACATAAACCTATATTCGGTGACAACCGAGCACAAATTTGGTTTTGCTGTGGGACGCAAACGGAACCCGATAACAATTACAAAACTATTGAACCAATTAAGTTAAGGCTATTAAAAACGGCAAAAACAATTCTTGTTGTTTTTGTTTTTTTTTTTTTCAGAAAAACAAGAATGAGAGAAAAATAGAGAGCGCGAAAGAGAAGCAGAAACGAAAACCACAATGGCGTCCGATGGCAAGCGAATATCACGACTAAACGAAACGAAACAGCATTTGCCATATGACCATTTATGATTCCCATTTTCGCTGCGTAAACATTTCCATATGCAAATATTAATGACCTTCACTTTCACCTCACATGCTAAAAAACATTTAATTGCAGAGGTTATCAATGATCATACTCTTTAAAACGTTGCCTATTTTCTACATATATTCCTGCCCTGTATTTAAGCTAAGATCAATCAAAAAACTAAAAACAGAATAACAATATTCGAAGAATGTCCAGTATCCTCTTCTAAATGTAACCTTCGTGGTAACAATTACTTTTCCATAGTTTGACAACCCTAAAGTAATCTCTAACGCACTCCCACACACATGAAAATGAAAGATCGATAAAAGTGATCAGTACAACAGGTGATAAGCTTCGATTAATTTTCACATTCTTATACAACTACATTAAATGCTTTACAAATAAATAAACCCGTACACAATCCGGTGCATGTGTATTCGTTTGCGATGGCGGTGACTTCCAAAAACGAAAAAAACAACAAATGTTCAAAATCAATTGCTGCTTGAGTTTTTGTGTCAGTGTGCGAGAGTGATGTGTGTACATTGGTGTACGAATAATCTGAAACAAATAGCGGCCTTCTCTCCCAGCGACAACAAGACAATTACTGTAAATAGGTAAAATAACAAGACAACCAGCAGTTGCACAAATATTAAAAAGGCACACAGACTGACAGAGCAACCAAAGGTATTACGGTAATCAATGTCAAACGCTGCCGATTTTTTAGTATTTATGTGTGTGTCTGTGTGCACTCCAGCCGAAAACAACACACCTTCGCTTCGGAAGAGCGACACACACGCTCATAGCAAATCGCTTTGAAAGAGAGAGAGGCATATAAAGCGAACGCGAACAATACGCGTCAAATGTCAAAATCGAAAACAACAACAAAAACCATTATCGAAACGACCTGGTGTTGTTCTACTTGAGAGAGCATTTTTCGATTTAAATGAACGTATTTGAAAGCTAAAATAATATTTGCTTTTCCTATTTATGTTTTATAGTTTTGTAGACTTTAAGCGCAAGTAAACTTTTTCGAAATGCCAGCACACACATACCATTTACCTATTAAACGAGTATATATATTTATATATATGTACATATATACATGGCGGATATAAAAAAGCACCACTTGTTGTTGGCTTGATTGAATGCAGTGCGTGCGAGCGGGATGGCAAGTTGTAGTTCGCCAAAGCAAGGTAAGATCGCCACCAATACACCGGCAAATGCAGCTCACATACACACACAGTATACTTTCACTTCTTGTATTGAATTTTTGATTTTATTTGTGCTGGCGCCATGTTGTTGTTGTTAGACATGGGTTTTTAAGCAGATTTATGCAGTCGGCAACAGCGAAGAGTTTGACAGAAAAATTACAAGAATGTTTAACTAATGTTTTATAAAACGTAATAAAAGAACAAATCAACTCATTTGAATCTCATCAACTCATTAAAAGATACAAAATTACGGCAATGAATGCTATTGCTATGATTAATTAGAAGTAAATCAATTTGATCGATTGGGCTTTAGTCGTGGGAAAAATTTAAAAGATGCCATTCGATGTTCTTTCTGTGTACGAAGGGCAAAATACATACGTCATTGCTGATACCGTCTTCTCCCTCTCACACTCTTTTATTGTTGCATTACTGCATAAATAGTGGCACTCATACATGTGTACACCCCTCTCTAACTTTAGGATTTCGAAATTTATGCAATGTCGCATTACTCTTCATTGTTTACTTGTGGCAGAGAAATCGGAAATTGCAGTGCAATGTTAAAGTAAACAATTTGATCAACTGCATAGCGAGATAAATCATAGAAAAATGATCGCAAAACCGGCAAATGGTGAAGTTAAAAATAAATGGGAAAGAACCAGCCTACGCTGACGTCACAAACGTGAGAGAAAACGAGAACTAATTTAGCATCCTCGTAGGATATATCGAAGGATAACGGCAGCGAATCCAATTAGAATGAGCACAAAAGGACGGGGAGGGGAACGTGTTAAAATTAGACACTGAATTCTACTCCCACGCTTGTTCTCTAGGATAACTTCCACACGCACGCACACCATATACATATACATACACACGCCCACAGTGCAACAGCGTCGAACGGAAAAGCAGAAGAGAGGCGAAAATGGGGGCAGGGACAGAAGAGAGAAGAAGCGTGTAGACAGAAGAGGAACAGCTGCGAACGAATTAACATAAATTGTATGCAAAATTGGGGTGGCTATGGATACTGCTTCTTATTTATTACATGGCGGCGGCATATTGTTTATCGGTTTTCCTATGAACTACTACTACATTCCAGCAATTTCCTTGCGAGACGGGACAACCTTCCCTTGTAACCATCTCTTTCCCACACTCTACTTTTCTTCTTCTTCATCTTACTTGTGTGTTGGCATATTTTGATTAACTCGAAGACTATACTTTAGTTGTTTTCCAGGCACTTTGGTATGATTGCATCGTGGTAGCTACGTTTTTGGTTTTGTTTTAAAGTAAATTTAATTTAAACGCGTCGGGTTTCAGTGAATTTTTTTTATCATATACGTTGGTGCGACAGAGACGGGGTGACGGCGACGTTTGGCTGGAGCGCGCGTGCATAACACGCACACACACAGATACGCATATACGCGAGAGAGTGGAGAAATCAATCAAGAGAGCACGACGGCGAAGGGGGAGTGGAAAAAAAATCACATATGTATGTGCGTCAGTGGAAGTGCGACAAGATTTTCCACAATATTCCACGCATCTTTGTTTCGTTTCTTTAGATATATGCACATATTAATGCTTCGTTTTCTTTTCGCATTGCTTTCTTACACAATTTATATATATATATATATCTAAATGCATATTTGGTGGTAATTTCAGGTTTTTACTTTTTTGCACACACTTTTCATCATTCTTTTTTTCTCATTCCTTGTGTTGGATATATTACGCACTGGATTTGTGGATTTACACTGGCAATCGGTAGGCGGTGGCGAGTAATGCACGTATTCCCTTTAATTAACAGTTTTCGCTACAATTAATAATGTAATCTCTTTAACAAAAACTCAGAAATCACGTCATGGCTGCCACGTCCAAGCAACAATGAATGTAAATGGTGGCAGACGAGGCTGTCTGGGTATTCTTGACAAGCCGTAATAGGGGCACACTATTTTTCTGGTGATACCATCGCACATCGTATGATAACAGTACATGTACGGTCACACTACAATAAGTGTAAAGGAAAATGAATTTCCCTTAAACTATAATTGTCACTTGACAATTTACAGGTAAAAGAAAAAATCTTAAAGGATATATAACTTAAGCTACAGCTTAATTCTAAACAATTTTCAATGTGTTCTGCTCTTATTTTTCAACCAAAACAACCATGTAAAACATATGTTTTGATGAGCGAGCGGGATGTCTATATTGTCTACATTCGCGAATTGAGAGAACACAAAAATGCAATAAATATGTGTGCAATGGAGGAGGCGCAAAAGCCCCGAAAAAAACGCGCCACACATGTAAAAATTTCACCAATTACTGTAATACTTATTTTTAATATCAAGTACAGCAATGACAATGACCGATTGGGATAAAGGGCAACAATAAGCAAAGGGGAGGGGACGCAGCACGCTGCGCGGCTTTGCGGCTCTTGAACATGACCACGGTGTTTGGCCTGACCGAGCGACGGTCGGACCAAGTTTTTTTCACGCCGATATTTGGCCGACTGAAACAATGCACTCACCCTGAAAATTGTCGTCATTCTCTTCTTCCGATGCCATTGTAGCACTCGAATGTAACTTTTACACTGTTTGAGCACACGAAATTGTCTTAATTTCCACAACAAATAATTAAGCACACACAGACACGACGAGAAAAAAATAGACAGTTGTAAGCGGCTTCAACAAATATGGCGGAGCGGAGAGCGACACAAAAGTGAGAGAATAAGGGTTGCACGTCGATTAAACGAAGCGAAATGGTCACACTTTTGCCATAACAACTCTGACTTGTATGTTTCTTTAACCACCCTGTCTTGACGTGTATCGAAGAATTTTTCACCAAAGACCAAAAACCTTGTGTATTGCTTTTAGAATTGCAAATCGCTGATTTAGACTCGAGGAATGTGCCAAGCAGTTGGTAAATAACATTTACTTTTTAGTCCGACCCATTTAATTGCGAATTATGTCGTCCATTATCACGCGCAAGGATGGCGACGTCGACGACCAGAAATTTGGCAAAAAGCGCGCTGCCGCCTCAGATTCCAGAGGTGGTGGTGGAAGCGCCCTCGAAGCGCCCAAGAAATCCCGCTTCGATGTCCCGGAAAAGAATGGCAGTAGCGGTGAGAAGAAAGAGGATGCTGCCGTAGCCGCCTCACTGAGTTCCACGCAGATCAAGCTGATGATGGCCCATGCCCAGCGGGAGATCGAGGAACGCAAGCGGGCCCTTAGTAATCTGAGGGACAAGGATCCGTTGCTGGCATCAGTTCCTTCGATCGGAATGCCCGTCGCCCTAGCCACTCAAGCGCTGGCTAAGAAGCCCACGCCCGAGGACTCGGAGAAGGCCAGGAAGATTGCCGAATTGCAGGCGCAGATCAGGGCGAAACTTACTGGTAATTTGGCAAGTTTGATTCAGCCCACTGCGGTGGCTGCCGCCGCTGCTCAGGCGCAGGAGCGACCCAAACCCCTAATCCTGGACGATGAAGGACGCACTGTGGACAAGAGCGGACGTACCATTAATATACCCACGGTGACACCCACTCTGAAAGCCAACATACGCGCCAAGAAGCGTGAGGTGTTCCAGCGCCAAACGGGCTTGGGTGAACGGAGTGAGTCTGCCACTGCGGCACAGGATGAAGCCATCAAGTACTTTGACGACCGAATTGCCCAAAAGCCGACTGTTCGGACCAAGAGGACATTGAGGTTCCACGAGCCCGGCAAGTTCCAGCAGTTGGCCGAACGAATGCGCATGAAGAGCCAGCTGGAGCGGCTGCAGAATGAGATTTCGCAAATAGCCCGTAAAACGGGCATCTCGTCGGCCACCAAACTGGCATTGATTGCCCCCAAACAGGACATGCCGGACGACGTGCCTGCCATGGAATGGTGGGACTCGGTTATACTCACCCAGGATCTAGAGACGGTGGACGAGGCAAGCGGTAAGATAAGCATACGCCAAACAGCCATAAGCAACCTTATAGAGCATCCAACACAAATGAAGCCGCCAAGTAAGTAAAAATCTAAAGCATATTCTACAAGCAATTAACCACGTTCTCCTTCAGATGAGCCCATGAAACCAGTGTATCTGCCGGTATTCCTCACCAAGAAAGAGCGCAAAAAGCTTCGTCGCCAGAACCGTCGCGAGGCTTGGAAGGAAGAGCAGGAAAAAATCCGACTGGGTTTGGTGGCGCCACCAGAGCCGAAACTGCGCATATCCAACCTGATGCGTGTCCTTGGCTCAGAGGCCGTTCAGGATCCCACCAAAATGGAGCAGCATGTGCGGGAACAGATGGCCAAGAGGCAGAAGGCGCACGAAGATGCCAACAATGCCCGCAAGCTGACCAGTGAGCAAAAGAGCGAAAAGAAGCAGCGCAAGCTAAGGGAAGACACCAGTTGCGGTGTACATGTGAGCGTTTATCGCATACGAGATCTGCAGGACAACCAGAGCAAGAAGTTCAAGGTGGAGACCAATGCCAAGCAGCTGCAGATGACCGGCAGCGTAGTGTTGTTCCGCGATTGCTGCGTGGTGGTCGTGGAGGGTGGGCCCAAGCAGCAGAAAAAGTATCGCAGACTCATGCTAACGCGCATTAAGTGGGAGGAGGACATCGCCAAGGGCAACGACGGCCAGGACGTGCCAAACTCATGCGTACTCGTCTGGGAGGGGACAAGTCAGCGCCGGCACTTTGGCGAGATCAAGTTCAAGATTTTTCCCATGGAAAAAATGGCACGTGAGTTTTTTCAGAAGCACCAGGTTGAACACTACTGGGATCTGGCCTACTCAGGAGCCGTGCTTGAGGCCTCCACGGATCAGCAGTAGGCGGTCGCTACCAATGGCAAAAGGCATTTTAAGAATTACTAGATACACTACAGTACTACAAATTCACTTTCGTAAAGATAAAAGTCTGAATTAAAGTTTTGAAGCGCTACGCATTTGATGTTATTATTCTAGCTTTTCGGAACTTTGGAAGTGCAAAAATTACGAATAAAAGTTTAGTCTGGACTCTAAATATTTGGTTTTCGCATTTTTAAAGGGGTGGAAATTATTATGAAATCATTATGATTTATTCTCAATCAACTACTGCCTTTTTACATAGGGATCTTCCCGGATGTTCGACTGTATAAACTCTTCCGGTCCTTGCTTCTTTAGCTTCTCGATTATCTCCTCCAACCGCTGATCTTCTAGAGCGCTTTCGGCCTTCTCGCGGAGATCCAGTTCGTGCTGCTCCTTTACCCGCTTTGTGAGTACGCCTCTGACTAGTTGTCTCAGGGACTTGTTTACCGCCAGGGTGTAGTCCAGTAGCTTTATATAGGTGACAATACTCAGATATCCGTACTGCTTACACAGGGCGATCTGTTCAAAGGTGTCCATGCTGGCGGTAATGATCAGGCCGTGCTCCTGGACGGCGTTGCTGCCGCGGCGATGCTTCCGGGCCAACTCCTCGATCTTGGCACTGGGATTGAGGAAGACGTGATCCCGATAGATACACGCCGTTGAGGCTGTTACTAAATCGTACGTGGAAATGCCGCACTCCACCAAAGCCACTCCGCAGCAATTGATGGCCGTGCTAAGTAGGCAGCCATCATCGTCCAGAATGAGCACCCGTATGTCCAGCTGAAAGTTGAGAAACTCCGTTCGGCACACCACTGGCTCCATGGCCTTGGTCAGCATGCCACTCAGGTGGCGTTCCCGTTCCGTCACCGAATCCAGATCCCCTGAGGCGAAGGCCGCAAAATTCACATAGCAATTCAGCACGCCCATGTTCATTCTGCGGGCGCTGGCCCGGAGTAGCTCCTTTGGCGGAGCCACAATGGCCAGAACCTTGGTGTTTCCATACTCCATGTAGGCGGAACCTCTCACGGTGGTCAACACTCCGGCGCGGATGACTGTAATTCGGGAGATACATTAAAAATTGAAAAACAAATAGGGAAGTGCAAGTCTAACAGGTGTTTCTGGGTTCCAGTTTGGTTGGCTCCTTTGCCGGTTTGTCCAGGCTCTCGAAGAATTCATCGCTGTCCTGCGGAGATGTGTAGGGCTCTTCCTCAATGGAGGCGCCATCAAGGAGGGCGTTCTTCGTCTGGTTCACCGTTAACATATTACTGAATGGCCCTCTTGGATTTACTAAAAAATAAACAAACCGAATTCACATGTGGGCCACAGAAATCGTTTAATTTTCGATTAAAATACGAATCTGGTATTTTTGTATATTTAGACATTTTATACCGATTCTGTATCGTTTAAAGGATTACCTGATTATTCATGAAATCCTTCGTAGAACCTGTCAAACAAATAATAGTGTTCATTTTATCAAATAAAAGAAGTCTTTTTTAATATGCCGACTAAACTTTTGAAACCCTCTGATAATCGATAACTTTAAAGTATGTTTTGGTGGATCAGCGAAAATTGAACCACGGACCCAACAAAAGATCGCACGAAAATGAAAAATAAATTATGGATATCCATTCGGTACAGATGGCTGACTATACATCGGAAGCCGCAGAAGAGAGAATCAGGATCATGATGATTTTTCAGATTCTAAGTGGTATGAATTCCATGATGGATACAGTTTTGTAAAAGAGGACAAGAACGTATCGGGAAAATAAATAAAATAATAATAAATAAAATATAGTAAAATAATAATAGAGAAAAAGATAGGTTGATCCATTAACATCCATATACATATGTCGTTAGTATTCTGGTTCCTACCAACTTTGAATATTAAATTTGCTTGGCAAGGCCCTATAAATCGATAAGATGAAAGTGTACTACCATCACTATTTAAGTGTGACCAGCTTCTGGTAACGCAAATTAGGTATTTTGGTATTTTATATGGTATATCTTGATGTTCGCCGGTCGGTCACACTACAAAAAGCGCTGTGTAATTCTGCTGTTTCAACAACGAAAAAAAAGGGGACAAAAGCATACACCGCATTACAATCGAAACGAACGTAGTGCCAATTAAATCCCTAAAGTCAGACAAGTAGGCATCGTAAGGCAGCAACGCAAACATGACGGGCGAGACCAAGCTGGAGAAGAAGCCGCTGAAGCCGGCGGCTCCTGAAGGCGATGCCAAGGATCCGAAGGCCAAGAAGGATGAAAAGAAGGACGGCAAGGACAAGGAGCAGCAGCCGGAGCTCTCCGACGAGGACCAGCAGCTGCAGGAGGAGCTGGAACTGCTGGTGCAGCACCTGCAGGAGCCGGATGCGAAGCTCTACCAGCCGACACTGGAGAGTATGGCCAAATTGATCAGGGCCTCCACGACGTCGATGACCTCGGTGCCCAAGCCGCTGAAGTTCATGCGCCCGCACTACGACACCATGAAGACGGTGTACAAGCACATGCCCGACGAGCAGACCCGCCAGTTGTGCGCCGACATCATCTCGGTGCTCTCGATGACCATGGGCAGCGGCAAGGATTGCCTGGCCTACCGATTTCTCTGCGATCGCAAGCAGCGCATCGGAGACTGGGGTCATGAGTATGTGCGTCATCTGTCTGGCGAAATTTCTGCCCACTATCACGATACTACGGGAGACTTTCGTGTGCAACTCATCGAACTGGTCAAGCAGATCATCCCGTACAATATGGAGCACAACGCCGAGGCTGATGCCTGCGATCTGCTGATCGAAATCGATCACTTGCACCTGCTGAGCGATTATGTAGACGAGTCGGCCTATCCCCGCGTCTGTCTCTATCTGCAGTCGTGCTATCCTTACGTTCCTGAGCCGGATAACACCATTATCCTGGAAACCGCCCTCCAGCTGTCGCGCAAGTTTAACCAGTACACACAGGCCATGCGACTGGCATTGATGCTTAACGATATGGACAAGATAGGTGAGATCTTTAAGGAGCCCAAGGAGCCGGCTATGCAGAAGCAGCTGGCATTTATGCTGGCCCGCCAACAGATTTGCCTGGAGCTGGATGAATCGGTGTCCGACTACGACGATCTCATGGAGATCATGTCCAATGCTAATCTGAACAAGCATTTTCTAAATCTTGCTCGCGAGCTGGACATCATGGAGCCCAAAACGCCGGAGGACATTTACAAGTCGCATTTGGACAACTCGCGCTCCCGCTTCGCTTCCATCCAGGTGGACTCTGCCAAGCAAAATCTCGCCGCTAGCTTTGTAAATGGTTTTGTTAATGCCGGTTTCGGTGTGGATAAGCTGCTGTCGGAAGATGGAAACAAATGGTTGTACAAGAATAAGGAGCACGGCATGCTCTCGGCCACCGCATCGCTGGGTTTGATCCTTCTGTGGGATGTGGATGGCGGTCTGACCATGATCGATAAGTACTTGTACTCCACCGATGACAACATCAAGTCTGGCGCTTTGCTGGCCTGCGGAATTGTCAACTGCGGCATCCGTAACGAGGTCGATCCAGCTCATGCTCTGCTCTCCGATTATATAGACAACCAAAATTCCTGCATGCGCGTTGGCGCCATTCTCGGTCTGGGCATCGCTTATGCCGGCTCCAATCGCTCCATTGTGATCGACACCCTGAAGACGGTCTTCTCGTTTGGCAGCAACAACAAGAGTTCGGCCAGCGTGGAGATATTGGGAATAACAGCTCTGTCCCTGGGTCTCATCAGTGTTGGCTCGTGCAATGCTGAGATCACCGAGATCTTGTTGCAGACCATCATGGGTCTGACCAAGTCCGACCTGAAGGATACCTACACGAGGTTCCTGTTTTTGGGTCTCGGTCTGCTTTACTTGGGCCGCCAGAAGTCCACCGAAGCCGTGATGATGACCTTGGAGGTTTTGGAAGAGCCACACCGCAGCATGGCTACTACCATGGTGGACATATGCGCTTACGCTGGTACTGGCAACGTGCTCAAGATCCAACAGCTGTTTCACATCTGCTCTGATCACTACGAGACCTCCAGTGCCGATGACGAGAAGGAAAAGAGCAAGAAGGACAAGGGCAAGGATAAGGTAATGGTGCAATGCGTGAATTTTTGAAGTTCTTTAGGTTATTTATCCAATTCCTAAACTTTCTAGGATAAGGAGAAGGAGAAAGAGAAGGAAAAGGAGCGCGAGAAGGATTTGTCGGCCACCCAGTCGATCGCCGTGCTGGGAATCGCCCTGATCGCCATGGGTGAGGATATTGGTGCCGAAATGGCATACCGGTCGTTTGGAAACCTGCTGCGCTATTGCGAGCCGGCCATCCGTCGGGCCGTTCCACTGGCGTTGGGCCTGATATCCGCATCCAACCCAAAGCTGAACATCATCGACACGTTGAGCAAGTTCTCGCACGACAGCGACGCCGAGGTGGCGCACAATGCAATCTTTGCCATGGGCTTGGTGGGCGCCGGCACAAATAACGCCCGACTGGCCTCCATGCTACGTCAGTTGGCGCAGTACCATTCGAAGGATCCCAGCAATCTGTTTATGGTGCGCATCGCCCAGAGCTTGACGCACTTGGGCAAGGGCACTCTCTCGCTGAGTCCCTATCACAGCGATCGGCAGCTGATGAACCCCATGGCCGTCGCTGGACTGATGGCTACGTTGGTGTCCCTGCTGGATGTGAAGAACCTGATCCTGAACCGATCGCACTATCTGCTCTACACATTGGTGCCTGCCATGCAGGCCCGCATGCTGATCACCTTCGATGAGGAGCTCAACCAGCTGCAGGTGCCCGTGCGCGTCGGTATCGCCATCGATGTGGTCGGCCAGGCAGGCAAGCCTAAGACCATCACCGGCTTCCAGACTCACACCACGCCCGTTCTGCTGGCCATCGGCGAGCGCGCTGAGCTGGCCACCGACGAGTATCTGGCCCTCACTCCGGTCATGGAGGGATTCGTTATACTGAAAAAGAACCCCAACTTTGTGAAATAGAAGTGCATTCATTTAACATTTAAGGTCATTCGAGAAATTGAAGTTCAGCAACTAACTCCCTATAATTATTTGTTCCCCCACTGGCAGTTGATTCAAATGTCATTAATACGAAATATATCTACTTATAAAGAATAAAACAATTTGTACTTTTATGACAAGTTTTTTAGCTGGCAACGAAAAGCCTCTTTTTTTTTGGGCTGTCCAGTTGTAAATCATAATATGCGGTTCGGAAACCTGTATCCTGGGCATACAAACGCTTTGAAAACAGGCAATTCAAGGCGACATAAACGCATTGTAAAAATATATATGCAAACTTTATTCAGTGGCTTTTAGCAATATTACTTTTGCGTGTGCTCGAAGTGGATTTTTATTTATGCACGTATATGTATATATAAATGTAGTCGTAGGCTCTAGTGATAGTGTTCTTGCTGGATTTTGGAGCTGTTGGAGCTGTTTTGCTTGTACGAATTTTACTTTAAAAATAGACTTACTTATTGCTGTAAATATATATTTGTATACACTCTGCACTAATTACATATGATAAAATTGTCTCATTGTTTCGCCACAAAAGGTTAGTTTACACAATCCAAACCAGATGTGAAGTGTAAGCAAGCTAATTCAAATCAGTTTTGAATTTTGGTTTTCCATTCGCCCTGTAGATTTGTTAAGTTAAGTTTAAGTAACGGCCAAATTTGAATTAATGTATATTTGATTTTAGATTACAATTATGGTGTAGAACTGGTAGAAACGAACCAAATGAACGATTTTGAGGTCAATTTCAAATTCGACACAAGTCTTAACAAATGTCCAACATGATAAATCGGTTAAAATATAACACAACATAATAGAATATAGCAGTAAAGTTAGGGTTTGCAAGATTGCCTGGCCTGGCATTGCATCTACAAATTAAACAAACTAAGCCCTCCGATGCATGTGGTCAACGGCAGGCGATGATTGAGGAGGATGAGGAGGAGGAGGAGGAGTTGGAGCAGCAGCAGCAGCAGCGGGGGCGCCTGCGTCAGCGCCTCTCGTACTTGGCCGGCACCGATAGCCTGGTGCGGACGCCACCAGCTCCTCCTCCCGCCGATCCGCTCGCCTTGGTCCTCTCCGATGTGGAGCGACGCCGGGAAATTGGGCGTTTGTTGCTGTTGCCGCTGCTGCTACTGGTGTTGTTGCTGGTTGCTGGCAGTGAATGGTTATTGCTTTTGTTGCGGTTGGCTCCACTTCCACCTCCGCCTCCGTGTCCATTTCCGATCCCGGCGTTTCCATCGCTGTAGCGGTGCCGCTTGGTTAGCACTGTATTATCTACCAAAGGTCCAAAACATATACCATTAGAGTGTGTCGAATCAGAGGCTGAATCGAAGTTACTACTTTATTAATTGCCCACACAGTTGTTGGCAACTGGGCTCGCAATTCCATTAACTCCCACGGCACTAAATCCGCCACACTCATCATCAATAATACCAACATCGACAGCATTATCGCTGTGGGCCAGCACCTCTGGCACATCCGCCGCCTGCTCCACATCTGCCACAGACCGCGCGTTCACATTGAGAGGAAGAATTCAGTTAAAGTCCAAAGGAAAAGCATAAGGTTTAAAAGAAAAAGGTCCAAACGATACAATTTTGATTCAATTTTGTGATTTGCTTCTGATCGGTGGCTTTCATTGTGAACTCATGACGATGGTGGGATGCAGTGGTAGTTTTGTACATATGAAGATGCATGTAGCGATTCCCTTCATGGATGTGTTAAAGGTTTGGGTTGATTAAAGCTATTTAAACAGGTTCAATTGATGATGGTATGCTTAAAAAGACAATGGCGGAAATGGGGCTTACACAAATCGCAAACAATAAAATGTATGGAGTTTCATCAAAGGACTAACGATCGTTTTTTACATAAAGATAACTGAGAAGTAAAGTTAAATTCCATAATTTTATCTGACAAGTGAACATTTCACTTAATTTCATTGTAAATGAGAAACTATGAAACAAGTTATGTATAATTCGGCTAGGCATATAAGAAAGTTTTACTTTGGTTTTATATATAGAAGGCTAACACGATCGAGTTGCGATTATGTTGAAATTTACGAGACAATTCATTTTTAATAGCGTAAAATGTTTACTGTTTGTAATCCCAGGCCATTGAAAATAAAAACAAATAAAAATTACTACGATGGGGATGAGGCTGGAATGCTGGGCATGGCATTTCCTGCATGCTGATGAGGCACTCACCTTTGGAGCTCAGCTTGCGCTTCAATACGGGTGTGGCCGCCAGTCGCGTTCCTGTGACATTGCGTTTCTGGCCATGCTCGGAACGTCGCTCCCTAGTGTTGGCCAGGGTGCTCAGTGGCTGGTCGGCGCTCTTCTTGGCCACGTTCTTGCTGTTGTTGCTGCTGCCGTTGGTGCCATTTTCAGTGGATTTACCCTGGACTCCCGGGGCGACGGCTGCACTGCCTCGTTTAAGATGAGCCGGCATTCGCTTGGGTGGCTGCATTGAGCTGGACACCGCACCACTTCCAGAGGTGGATGCGGAGGAGGTAGATGCTTGGTCTGCGGGCGGTGCTGGTTTTTGGGGTGACTTGAGTGTCTTGGGATCTTCCTGCTTCTTATGCATGCCCACGTCCAACCAGTACTTCAGTTGCTCCTCGCGCTGTCGCTGCATCAGCTCTTGGCCGGCGGCGTACTTGCTGAGTAGGCCCTGAAGCTTCTGTACCGTCTTGTAGACCGTCTCGGCCGCAATCAGTCCGTAGTCAAAGAGCGAACACATATGCAGGATGAAGTTGCGGTAGAGATTCTTGCGCACAATCTCAGTGCCTTTGGCGTCGAGGAACATCTCGCAGGCGATCGGCAGCTGGCAGTCACCCACAAATCCGTGACGCATCACGTGCAGGTTCCACAGCTTCATCAACTCCTTTTCACCCTCGTTTACGTCGGAAAACTCGTCGATCATCTGGATGGTCTTTTGGCGAAGCCACAGCGGATCGCTCTCGCCCTCGGAGTCGATGTCCAGCTCTTTGGGATGCACAGGAAGACAGGTCTCCGTATGGTGGTAGAGTCTGCAAGGATTACAGTTTTGGATTTAGCTGAAGTTGTTTACTGATTTTTAATCTAAAGCAATACAAATGCGATACTTAAATGATTTTAACTCGATATTCATTTGCCTATCTGAATGGCACCTTACCTGTTGTGACCAGTAATGTACGATCGCTGGTTGCTTATCTCGTCCTCGTCCAGCTCTAGGAACTCGTCCAGACAAGTCTTCTGCCGTCTGGGCCGGCACACCATCAGACTGGTCACCGAAGTTCGTCGCACGGGGCCGCAGGTGCGAGCAAACGAGGAGCCAGATGGTCCGGCCAAGTCATAGGGCGATCCAGCGTACGAGCCATCGTAGGCATCATTGATGGTAACATCTATGCGAGCTCCACTTCCAGCAGGCTGGTATGTGAAGTTGAAGCGGGCGTGGCAAAGCTTTAGATGCTTCAGCAGGGCATACAGACGCAGGCAGTCCAAACCACACCACGGGCAGTTCAGCTCCTGAGTGTACTCCGTCTGCTGGCGGGTATTATTGCTGTACATGAAGTTGTACACGATCTGAGTGTGCTCTGGTGTGGTCTTGCACAACGAGCTGCCTCCTCCACCATTCTTCAATCCACTGCAGTTATTGTTGTTATTGTAGTTGTTGTTGTTGTAGTTCATCTCGGCCACCGCATCCAGATGCTGAACATACCGCTGCAGCTCCGGAGCCGAAATCATCTCGGGAAGCTGCTCATTGGATAGCGTCAGATGGAACTTGAGCATGGGACTCTGCTGGTAGACATCGTAGGTCAGCGAGAGTGGAATGTAGCTATCGGGCATCGTTTCCCAGGTGCATTTCTTTGGTGAGAAGGACTTGATGCTAGTGGAATTGAGAGGCTGCAGCATGGCCTCGTACTCGCCTTCGGTTATAAATCCGCTGGACTTCTCGTACAATATAAGCTCCGACCCGAACATTTTCTCATTTCGACGCGACCGCTTGTTCGGGGGAGTTTCTGCAGAAGACGGAATAGTTGATGAATTGTAAACCAACTGGGCGGTGCCAAAGTACTCACCAGCATTCTCGTCGTTGCACTTACTCGGCGCCAGCACCTTGATGCGAAAGAGCAGCTTGTACAGTGTGTGCTGCTCTCCCATTGGCCGCATTGTCTGGAGGGGAATGCTAATGGTGGCATGTTCTCCCACACGATCCTTTGGGTTGTACACGATCTGCGAGCACTTGCTGAGCAGCTCCTGAAAGTCCAGAGTGCTGTCCTTTCGCTTGCTACGTGTGATCTTGTACAGCGTTGTCTCCACACTCACAGATTCGCCCGCTTCGCAGAGCAGCTGTTCCTGCAGCAAATCCTCGCCACCGTCGCTGTCCATCCTCGCCGGCAATTTTTCGTGCAGCGAATCGTAGATGACGTGCAGGTAGTTTTGGCTCACTGCCTCCGATTTCTGTGTTATGCTCTCCAGCATCGAGTTTACCTGGAAGCTGACCCGATTCTTGTTGTTCCGCGACATCCGTTCCTTCATGTAGCTTAGCGTGCGGTTGAGGAAGATGGGCTGCGTTCAAGGAGGGGTATATTAATGGAAGGTTTAAGGGTTTTGGAGCGATATCCACGAGTGCCCCAGGCGTTTCTAAAGAGATAGGTAGATAACTAGAGCAGTTATGCTTAGACTTCGGTGCTTAACAGTTGACGCTGAGTCTTAACTGCTATTAGGTTGAACCTCAATGCAGGCAATCCCTATTTAAAGCTTTGCCGGTAAAGATGCATTGGACACCCCGGTTGCCGAGGCACAAATACCTGGAAAAGATATCAACTTACGTTTGTCTCGTGTCGATTGCGCAGGTAGCGATAGATCTGGGTGGGCTCTGCAATGTAATTATTCGGTGGATAATTCGATGGCCCGAAGATACAATAATCCAAGGTTCTGGTTCTACTCACTCTCAAAGGCCTGCAAAAAGAGTTCCTGCTCCTGCTGGTGGCCATTGAGTTTGACCTGGCCCTCGGTCGTCGGCGGTACAGTAGAGCCAGCATTACCCGCGTCCGGTGCTCCATGGGTGAGGCCATTTATGCCATTTGCGGCAGAACTATCCGGATTATTGTCTTTCTCGCGTTTTTTCGCTGGGGCCATTGTGTTTGTGTTGTTGGCAAAGGAGAGGGGGCGGGGGTGAAGGGCGAGGGCGGTACTGAAGGCGGTACGCTTTCCACAGATCACAATTACAACCGCACGCAATCGCTTTTAATTGGCACACATTTTTCTCGGATCAGAGTCCATTTAGAATCGGTTTTTGTTAGGGTTTCGCCGAGCAATGCGTGTTTTTTGCCGTCCTCCTTTTCGGCGCGAAATCTTTTGCTTTTGTCTCAGCGTTATTATAGGCGCACTAGCAACGTTACGACTGCATGACGAATGATTTCATTTTGCTGTTTAGCAGTGGCACACTTTAACTCATTCATTGGTCTATATGCACATTATACTTGTTTAAATAAATCCGTTTAAAGCACTTTATTTGCTACCAAACAATGGAAAAGGCAGCATTATTCTTTTTTTGCGGTCATGCCAAACATGCACAACGCCAGCCTAATAGCTTTAGGCGTTTACCAACACTATCTAGAAAATCGTCAAATAAATTCGCTGAAATGTATGTATGGACTTCTGCCTTTAGCACAAATATATTCTAGATGTATTTGCTTATATGTTTTTCTTTTTTATTCAGTTAATTAGATGATCGAACATAATTAGCCACCTTTCAGACAGCTGTTATTGGCAGTGCTATAAAACAGACATTCACAGCCAGGTGGCAACGACAGGAATTTTTGGCATATTCAATGCAAACCATATTTGGGCACACTGCACGGTTTACTCACATGCAAAAGCCGAATTTTGTTAAAATTATTAACAAGCGGAGAAGCAACTGTTTATAAAACACTTAATTCCGAGTAAACGCCTGCAGTAGCTAAATCAAAATGGACAAGAACAGCGCAGCGTTGTACAAAAAGATACAGACCGAGGTTGAGTCATACCAGAACCTGCAAAAATGTGAGTGAATGCCAGGCCATCTGGTGGATTATTACCCCTTATGTACATGGAATACACACAATTATTTCCTGCACAGCCTGCGTGAAGATGGTGAAGCAGCGGGCACTGCTGGATAGCCAGCTTAACGAGAACAAGTGCGTCCTGGACGAGCTGAATCTTCTGGGCCCCGACAATAAGGTCTACAAGCTCTTCGGACCCGTTTTGGTCAAGCAGGAGCTGGAGGAGTCGCGCCAGAATGTCGGAAAGCGCATTGAGTACATCTCCAAGGAGCTGAAGAGCTCCACCGACACTCTGGCGAGAATGTGAGTTGCCATCACCTTGCCTTGTTTATTTGGAACCTTATTTATTGCCCCTTTTCTCCGGCTTCATTTCATCTCATCCAGGGAGAAGGACATGCAGAAGCATCAGGAAACCATGGCCAAGTACCAACAGCAATGGCAGGTGGCGGCGGCAATGAAGTGAAAGCCCTCTACACCCACGCACATATAATTTATAACTTATTTTGGGACAGCTTGGTGGCTTTTGAAACTCTCCTGGCACGACCGCTTTATCTTAAAATGAATAAAAACCGTGAAAATCTGAAAACTACATGATAATAGTTTATCCAGTGGATGAATTAGAAGATCATTAACTATTTACTCTATTAAGACTTCAATGCCGCTAATTTCCCAGCTAATGGTTTCTTTTTTGTATTAAAGCATTCGAATAATTTTTGAGGATTTCTGCACTTTAAATGACTAGAAATTGTACTTTTTTTGGCGCATTTATTAAATATAACATTTCAGCGGGTATTCTTTTTAATTGGCTAGACGTTATTTATTAAATATAAACAATGGAATTACAAATATGAAAATAAATATAGATTTTAGTTTTTGTTTCTATCAGTAGCAATCAATTTGGTATTTTTTGCAAAGTTCATCTGGAATCATTGATGGAACTCCCCTACTAAAAAGTTCGGATCAGCTGTAACCTTTAGCACACCCACTGGACCTTATGTGGCATTCCAGCGGCGGCGACCTGCTGCCACACTAAAACCAGCGACAAAAAGTTGCCACGAAGAACAGAACTTATTTGTTGGCAAAATATATAAATCAGGGGCTCCAAAGCGTCGCTTAAGTCAGATCCCTGTTTCGGACTAGAGCTTGACCTGAACGCAGTCAAAAGATGGGCTCAAGCCACAGCATCCATGTTCCCGGTGGCGGCACCGAAGGTAAGTAAGTGGGCAAACAACTTGTTCCCCAAGAACCACGTAAACCTGCCGCTGATCCAATCAGAAAAGAACACTACAGTCTTGCCTGGATATAGGCGACCGCAGTCTACGCTGCCCTGTTTTTGAACACCAGGAATCGCCTGGTGTTGAACACCTAGAATCAAGGCAAATTTAAATACACAACAAAAACACATAGAGTCGTGGCATCATAGCCATCATACCTAATGTAAATATGGTATGAGCTTCCCCCGAACTCCATTCTTATCATGAAAATATATAGTTTAAATTCTAATCACGCCTGTATATTTTACGTAGATAAAGCATATCTGCCTTTAGTAATTCCATCCAACCAGGTTATTCTATGCTCTTAGTTTGAAAACTTTATTTTGAAATATACAAGTATGCCACTGAAATGCATTATTGGTAATCTGCAGGCTACCACGTACTCAAGGTGCAGGACAACTCGCCGGGCCAAAAGGCCGGACTGGAGGCCTTCTTCGACTTCATCGTCGCAATAGCCGGCACACGTCTGGATCAGGACAATGACATGCTGAAGGAACTGCTGCGGCAGAACGTTGACAAGCCGGTGCGGCTCACCGTCTATTCCAGCAAGACGCAGACGGTCCGCGAACTGACCCTCACACCGAGCAATAACTGGGGCGGCCAGGGTCTGCTGGGCGTCAGCATACGGTTCTGCTCCTTCGAGGGCGCTAACGAGAGCGTCTGGCACATCCTCGAAGTACACCCCAATTCGCCCGCCGAGCTCGCTGGACTGCGAGCCTACAGTGACTATGTCATTGGGGCAGATGCCATACGCCACGAAAACGACGACCTGTTCACGCTGATCGAAACGCACGAGCAGCAGCCGCTGAAGATGTACGTTTACAACCTGGACGATGACGCCTGTCGCGAAGTGACCATCAAACCGAATACCGCCTGGGGTGGCGAGGGAGCACTGGGCTGCGGCATAGGCTTCGGCTATCTGCATCGCATTCCCGTGCAAGCAGAGCCAGTCCCTAGTAGCTCTGCAGCTGCTCCTGCTTCTGCCGTGGAGTCCTCTGCTCCGCTGCTGACTGCCGGGGGAGCGACTCCAGTTGTTGCTCCAGCAGCTTATGCAGGATCCGCTGTGGTCTCACCAACGTTGCCTTACATACCGCCACTGGCCAACACCTTTGGATCCACAAACTCCGAGGTCAGACCACCGACTATTGAGCCACCGGCACAGAGCTTGTTCAAGACCTACTTTAATCCGGATGAGGCTACCGATGCACTTACTGCGGCGCTGGAAACGCAGGCCTCCATTGCCGAACCCGTTTCCGCTCCGCCTGCGGTGACTGACGTGTCCGTGGCGCAACCTCAGGTCCAGGTGCCTGCACCAGCGCAACCATTGCCGCCCCCAGCTAACATCTTTATACCCGGCGTTTTTGATCCCAGTACGCAGCAAAACGCAACTTTAGGTGGCATACCCGCTGCTCAGCTGCCATTTCCACAGGCCACAGCAGCTCCAGCGGCTGTGCCCATGTTCTCTGCACCACAACAGGCTTACATGTCGGCCCCGGCTGCCCTCTCCTATCCAGCCGGTGCCCAGACAGTGCCCTCGTATCCGCAGGTGCAACCCTCCATGGGTGGATTGTTTCCCACGCAGCCAACGCCGTTGCCGCCACAAATGGCCCATGTGTTCGCGCCACCAGTACCACCGCAAGCTGCAGCTGTTCCAGCGGCAGGCAACGATGAATCATCGGGACCGGCAGTAAATCAGGCTGGAAACTAAGACTTCTACTGAGCTAATGGACCAACTGCTAAACCTGGACAAATTGTCGTTAAGCTTTTATTTTCGAGAATCATCTCATTGTTTTGTATGATCGCGATAGCAAATATCACAAGTGGCGCGATTGGGTTGGCCAGCTGCACGCAAGATGTGTACATTGCATTCATAATAATAATCTAAATTAATTATAACAATAAACCAATAAAAATATATATGTATTTAAGGTCTTTACATAAACGAGCTTTCAATACGTTTGTATAGCTGGCACTTGTACGGTAACAGACTTGTTATAATTCTTCAAAAATTTTAAACGGAAAAGCAAGATGTTGAAAAATCAAACTTTTTAATAAAGTTTCAACAAACAATTTATTTGATGTATTATAACAAATACTTACACAAATTCATTGGCCAACATGTTATTTGCTGAAAATAAATGTAAAGTATTTTAGAATTGCATAGCTCCGCTTTACGAAACTTGCAGATTCAGTCACTTGTGCAACAGTAAGAAGATAAAACGACAATCACATGGATTTTTTGACATTAATGGCAGCAAAATCAATTGAATAACTATTATTAAATGCTACTAGAAAAAAAGGTGTATTTTACAACGATTTAAAACAAATTTATAATTGCATATTTAAGCGGTTGTGTAGCGCAGCACAAAGAAAAAGAAAAGAGTAGCTAAGTTTATAAGCATTTAATGCGCTAACTACATATAACTAATTTGGTAGGCACCTGGTCTGAAAGTACTTCTCATCGACGAAGCGACAGAACTCGACCAAGTGCTTGTACTTCTGCACCGTTTGGGCCAGCGCCATGTTCGGCAAATTGGTGGTCAGAATGCTGAAGAGGTGTCCGAAGGCGATGGCATCAAGTTCGCAGGGCTGATCGCCGTAGAAGAAGGGCGTTTCCGGCGACTCCTTCAGCTTGTACTCGAGGGTCTCACAGCACTTGGCCACATTATCGATGACACTGTCGATGTCCAGGTCGTCCCACTGATACACCTTCAGCAAACGCAGGGCGTTCCGCCGCTTCCCATAGTTCTGCATATGATTAAGGGGCCATGGAAAGACGACTCCGTTCCTGGGCGCAGTGACCTCCTTATAGACGCGCTCGTTCTTGAAGCTTATATACAGCTCAGCCATGGTAAAGATGTTCTCCACCAGGGACACATAGGTGCGCATGTCGGCCTTCTCGTCCTCGTCCTGCCAGTTGCCAATGGCCAGGTGCTTCTGCTCCACAAAGTTCACAATCGGCTCGAACTCAGCAAAAATGAACGCTCCTGCTCGGATGAAGGGCAACTTGGTCATCCTGCCGCCCGGCGACATGTGCTCCGCATTGGCGCAGGATCGGATCCCGAAGGGCAGGTTGCACATCTTCAGGTAAGCCTTCACAGCCAGGCAACTGGCGTTTTCCGGCAGCAGGATTTGTTCCGCTTCATAGGGCTGTTGTGATGTAAATATTTATGTACATAAATGTGAGCATAACGCTACTGAGGATTTTGGGCTTATTGACCGTCTCACCTGGTAGAGAGTGGCGTCTTCGGGCCAGGGCTCGGCGACCAATTTTTCGGCCGTGTGCAGCTGGTTTAGGTACTGTGATTTCATTGCAAACTAACTGAATTTATTGGGTTCTTCAGCTTTCGCACCGAAATCGCCGATGAAGTAATATACAGCTGTTTGCTGGTGCTGCCAGACTGTTGGAAATAAGAACCGAACAGCGCTGCCAAGTTTTTTTTTACAGTTCTATGTCGTTTTTTAAAAATTGTAGATTGTGTATGAAACAAAACTGTTAAACTCTTTACTAATAAATAATTTGTATTTTAGCACTTACTTACAAAGTATAGAATTTAATGGAAAGTATTCCTAAGCCCAACCACTTTCTCGAACAGCAAGTATTTTTGGACAACAGTGTGAACAGATGCCCTTTGCAAGCTAATTCGCGTTTCAGCATTCTGCACACGAAGGCATACGTTCACACTTGCAATTCTTATTTTATATTATTTGCTTTGTTTAAAAGTTAGTTATCAAAAGTTGTTAAAAATATAGAATACAGTTACTTCTCAGTGATTAATTAGCAGAAATCGCTGTATTTGATTCATTTCGCATATTAAAAGGTGAGTGCGCGTCGTCGCCAATTTGCCAGTGTGTGTGTGTGTGGTGTGTGAGTGCGGTGCGTTCCAATGCATTTTACCTATATAAATATAAGTAATATTTTCGTAATAACTGAGTGCAAGCTGGCATTGCTAGAAAGTAATTTGGGGTTTCTGCTGCCTAGAACCACTCCCAAAAAATTCTACTCGAAAATCAGTGACGATTCATGTGCCGGCCTCAGTGTGAGTATGTGTGAGCTGGTGTGCATGTGAGCTGGTGTGTGTGATTCATTCGTCTGGGGTTTAACATTCTTCGTGCGCATTTCTTTATCAGAAAAGAGAAAAAAGAAGTGGCATGGCTCGTACTTTTCTCTGAATTATCCCCACACTTTGACTTTGGCGGGGGGTCCTCTGCCTCTCTCCTTCTCTCTCTGGCTAGCTCTCTCGCTTGCACCTCCTTCGATTCTGGCACATTTGTTTGGAATTCAAAATTTCAGTTTGGTCAGACTGTTCTTGAAATTACCGTTTCTCACCTAGCCTTAATTGTTGCGATTGTATTTATTGGCCCAAACTTGCGTTGTTGGTCCGAAAATTGTTTATTATTTTCTGCCATTCCCACACGAACACGGAGAGAAATTGTAAGCGCTTATTTCGAAATATAACAATGAGATCTGAAAACCAATATCGTAATTTTAAGGTTTAAACGAGGGTTTTTTATGCACCAGTATTTATTTATCAAATATTTATTTTTCAAAATAAAATCCTTAACAGATAGATACATATTTATCAGCTTTGGGTATATTAAAACTCAAAATATAGCTTAAACTGATCACATTGTTACTGCTCTATGAACACATGTGCCTTTGAAATCGTTTTGTATAGACTCAATTTTATTACCTCACAACAACTTGATGTCAAGTAATAACATTTCAATTTCATGTACTTTTTGCCCGGGCACACGGCATGCACATATATGTATACATATATAGCCAAATCTGGAGAATCTAGAATTATTATTGGCCCAACATTCGTTGAAAATGGGCACAAAGCTGGCGACGTGTATTTAGATAATGGAAAACAAAGCAAGATAATAATAAAGGCATTTTCTGGGGGGCGGAGGCCTCTCGCTTTTTGTCGCCCGTTCTGGTCAATATTATTCAATGCCGATACCCGCTCTCTCCCTCCATCGAGTTCTCCTGCCTTATCTAACTGCCGCTCCGTATTTGGTTGGACCTTTTTATTTTCTGAGCGGACCAGCTGCAGGTCGAGCGCCCCCTGCCTGCCCCGCCCTTTGCCAATCAACACGTCAGTCCATCAATGCGTTAATAATTGAAATTTAATCAATATTATTGAACGGCCATATGAAGTGGCTACATTTGTTCGCCACAGAAGCACTCGTGTTGCCAAAAAAGTAAATAAACCCGCTTTATGGTTACTAAATGATATCGCAATCAGCAGGGGAGTACATGGAATACGTTTTGGATTCGGGTTTGGCACCGCTAATTTGTTGGATTTCAAAATTTTACATTGTTTGTAGAAACATCACTATATTTACCTATTTAGATAGCAGGTTCGATGTTACCCATTCATCGACTTCCTTCGGATTTCCGCCCGGCATTGTTTAGTCATGAGCTTAAATCTCCCAAAGGCAACCGCTTATAAAGGGAAAATACTGTTCCTCCATTTTATGATTCAGGAATGCTTCCATATACTTTAATACGATGTAGCAGATATGGTTGCGCACATGCTTTTAGACGGAGGAATATGTATGTACATACATTCATACAGCTGTGGTCATTGAATTAGCAGTGCATGGGAAACTAAGAAATATAAAGGTATTATTCCACGTCACAAATTCACAACTTTTTGGCTGTTCCTTAGTCTGATTTTGTCCAACGAAAAGTCCCGAAATTCTCAATATTTTGTAAGTAGGTTAAGTTGATTAGTAGCGCAATATAATAAAAAAAATAAAAAATGGACTGCTCGCAAGAAGAAAGAAAGTTGTTTCTTAAGCTTAGAGAGCAGGGAAAAAGAAATTTAGAAGTTCAAAATATCCTTCAATGTTCTGCCCAAATGGTATCCAATGCCATTAAATATGATTTGAAGCCCGAAAATTGTGGTGCCTAACGTAAAACCACAGATACAGAGGATCGACGCATCCTTTTGCATCCTCTAGGGACATAAAGTTTGAGTCGAACTTGGAAGTCAGGGACGTTACTATTCGTTACTACTACTTAATGAAAATTTAAGTGCGAGGTGTCCCTTAAAATGGAAACTGCCCCTTAAAATTCAACAGGATAATGATCCAAGACACACGAGCAAAGGTGCAAAGAATTGGTCAGGACTTGGTGGACTCCGTGCCGCGGGTGTAAGGCTGTGATAGCCAATAAAGGTTATGCGAAAAATTATTAGACCCCAATCACACAATTAAAAAGAAAAATTAGGTTACTTTTGAGTCAGGTTGAATTTTGACGCTATTTTCTCCTTACACTGCTATTTTAGCGAACATCAGAATTTATGCCTTTTATGTTGTTTTTACCCATATTTTCAAAACTTTTAAAGTAAAAAAAGTGAAACATTTGTTGAATTATTTAAAATTAAATGTTATAAAAAAATTTGTTGAATTAAAAGTGTAAATCATATATGATGATATATTTCAATGAACACAGCTGTATATATAAAACAACATCATTATCGTCAACATGTTACGCACACCACTAAAAATATGCCTATGACCCACAAGCTTCTCCCAGAGAAACCGAGGCATACTAAACAAAATCCAAAGCAGCAATTCAACAACAGCACCGATCGAAATTAAGACTTGTGCTTTCCTTTAAAATGTAATTGATTGATAAACAAACAATTGCGATTGGACAGTTCTAGGTTAACAACCATGGCCGAAACAGAGACAAAGCACCATCCCGAGCACCACGACGAGGATGTTCATGATGCCAACTACCAGGCGCCGCCGGAGAAGACCATCGAGGAGATAATGGCCGCCGATCAGGAGGACGAGAGCTTGCGGCGCTACAAGGAGGCACTCCTGGGTGCCGCCCAGACCGAGAAAATTATTGTTGGTAAGGATGTAAACTCGGCCCCTAAAATAAGAATTCGCGGAATATAATAACTTTGCTACCCAGATCCCAATGATCCTCGAAAAGTTATTGTAAAGAAACTTGCCCTCGTCGTCGAAGGACGCGACGACATGGAATTGGATCTTACCGGTGACCTTAGTCAGCTGAAAAAGCAGGTAATTATTAATAGCCATCCAACCATTTGAATACTTTTGTTTATGAATCATATGTATGTACTTTGACAGCTTTTTGTGATCAAAGAAGGTGTTCAGTACAAGGTGCGCATTGATTTTATTGTGCAACGTGAAATAGTCCATGGCCTTAAGTATGTTCAAAAGACTTCTCGCTTGGGTGTTACTGGTAAGTATTCAAACGTAACATTTTATTTATTTTTGGCAGAATTAGCTTTATTTGTATTTATTTATTACTATTGTAAAGACAGATTTGTAATCTGAGTTCCAGCAGTACTTATGTACAAAAATTAAAGAAATCTAAATAATTTTCTATTATTTGACCTAAGATTATAAGTAATGAATTATTTACTGACCGAGTGCTCCAATATTGCATAAGAATCAAAAACAATTGTACTATTGGTGATTTTCTTTACGTTACACTATTCCTATTCGAGCACTTTTAGGGCTTCAAATTTCTAGGCTGACGCGAAATTGTTAGCAAACTGAGGTGTAGTTTTTGATTGACTTTTGCGCGAGCTAGTCGACTTTTGTTTCTAGAAATGGGAAAAGGCTGGTTCAACGGCACAACCCTATTATTGGGATTTTGTAGTGCTGTCTATATCCTCTTTTTCACATTTGCCGTACTAACTTTAGTCATGTGTTGAGAATAACTTGTATCCTATTATCTCCAATGCCAATCCCTCATTTCGGAATGTATAATTTTTTAAGTTGTGGGTAAGCTGGTGTCGGCCGTCCCCAAATGTAATTCTTTACTAAACCTATTGTTCTCCCATTGCTCTCTAGTTGACAAAATGAAGCATATGGTTGGCTCCTATCCGCCGAAGAAGGAGATTCAGTTCTACTTGACCCCCGCCGAGGAGGCACCTTCAGGCACACTTTCCCGCGGCACCTACTCGGTCCATTCGGTCTTCACGGATGACGACAAGCACATACACCTGGAGTGGGACTGGACCTTTGAGATCAAAAAGGACTGGGCCTAAGAGACACACTGAGCAGCACACAAACACACACGACATACAACATACAACATACGCTTTTTGTTTTCCCCCAACATGTCTTGTAAATGAGTTAATTTTTGTTCCAAAAGTGTACGCGATTTTTCCAAAAATGTAATTGATCGTCAAGTATTTTGTTAACGGTATTAAATTATAAATATTTTTGTAACTAAAGTGTAATGTAAAGGCATGATAAGTATTTTTGATACCCAATTTGCAAATTTAATGTGTGCAGATGAAGAGCACTTTTCGCCTAAGTCCTCAATGAGACACCAAGTCGGTCAGTCAAGTCAAAACCAAGTCAAGTCACTAGGCCAGTCAGTCAGCCAGTCAGCCAGTCAGTCAGTCAGTCGTTTGGTTCTCAATGCCATTGCCTA